ATTAGTCTGCAAGTTCATATTTTCTGCTCTGAAATGGTCTAGCTTATCGGTTAGACTCAAAACTTCCTCTTTCTTTTGTTGAGCTTTATCTGCTAGTTGCAAAATGTCAGCGATAGCTTGATTAGAGTTTCTGAATGCTAAATCTATAGGAGTTTCGCCTAACTTGTTTCTCCTTGAAATTGTCATATCTTCTTTGATTAGCGTCAACACGACATCTAAATAACCCGAGGAAGCGGCATAATGCAAGCAGTTATTGTTATTTTCGTCGATCATAGCTTCCAAGTCATAAGACGCTCGCGGATTGAGGAGTTTTTGAAGGTTTTCACTTAGGCCAAACTTGCATGCTGTTAAAACAGGATGAAGGCCCTCAGATGGTGATTGAGAGGACTGGGGACTTGTCAGCGCCGGCTGGGAGTCGACACCTCCCGAACTCGACGTTACAATACTTCCCGAGTAGCGATGTGGAGGCACGCGAGACGCTCCCGTCGGCAAAACATCATTGTAGTCCCGTTGGTATCTTCGCTCCTCGGATATCTTATGATCAGTTGAATGTCGCCTCGGATTCACACGTGAGCTTGGAAAGGTTTCGTAATCCGCGAAGCGATTTGTTGCACTACCGGACCGGGTTCCCATTTTTGGGACCGGTCGAGAGGGATTGCAAGGGAAGGGGTACATTGTGCTTCTCGACACATGTGAGTTCTGAACACTATAATTCACAACTGGAGACTGATTTTGGTAAGACGCTGAGCTGGAGTTACTATAACTGTGTGTTGTTGCGGTTCTCCCGCTACTTGCTAGACGTTCCCCTGAGCTTCTGAACCCGTTTGAACTTGGCTGTTCGCCGGAAGTTGTACTCATTTGTTCATTTAGCTCTTCAAGATACTTGCTGTATTGATCTGAGGTAGCCGATGATGATAAGGAAGAATCTTTGAGACAGCTCTTGCTTGGAGGTTTTCTGTTGAACCGATTCAAAATTTTCCTCTTTTCACTCTCAGAGCTGCTATCTTTTTCGCTTTTCCCTAGCCTCGGGCTGTTGTTGTCTTTACTACTATTGCTTTGACGGGACGGATTCAAGTGTTTCAAAATTCCTCTTTCCTTTCTGGGCAGGTCTTTTGTCGAATCGTCGACGAACATGACACGCGCCGAGTTTTGCTTAGACGTTCCGATTTCGGCTGACGGTTTCGCGCTTTCGTAATTTTCTCGGTTCATTTGATTTGCTTCGAAAAATGAGTTTTTAAATGAACTTGAGTTCTGTGAGGACGAAAATCCAGAAGAAAGCGAGTCTTTTTTACTCGTAGAGGGCCGATTGCTTAAGTCAAAACCAATACTCGTGGGTTTAGAAATCGATGGATTTCTTGGATTAAAAACTGCGGTTTGCTTGGAAATATTTGCAGCTGAAGATAAGTTGTCCAAAAGTAATTCAGGATCTGGTCTTGCGTTTTGGGAGCTTCGTGGAATCAGGGAAGAGTTCGGTCGATTTTGGGACATGATTGCAATTGGGATGATTTCAATTTGAAGGGATGATTATCAACTGAAATAAAAAACATTATTTTCAAAAAAGGTGCAAAACTTCAATACTTTTGGCAGTTCGATGATTTTAAACTAGCATGCCGTTAAAACTTATTATGGCTATAAATCTATCATTTTTCAATAAACTGATTGCTAACTTCGCGTGAATTGAGTCAGATTATTAATCGGATTGAATTGTTAGCGCAGAGATCATTGCTCTTACCAAGTCTCAAGAAACCGTTCAAGAAAAACCGACTGAGAAGTAACATTTTTTGACATTATACGAACAATGCAAATGAAAGCTTGAAACTAATACATTTTACCGCTTTTAAGTCTGCACGGATAAATAACCATTTAATGGCTTTATCTAATGTTTCATCATGCTGCTGCTTTTTTAGTTGATACCAATATTGTTCACCTGACATTAATATGACGGCCAGTTTAAATGTGAAGAAATCTTATTCAATTATTCATTATTTGAGTAAGCAAAAAAATAAACAAAAATCAGCGACAGACAACTAACAAGAACAAAATTGGCAAGTTTTTGGCTAAACTTCTAACTTGGTGTGTAAATTTGTTGAAAAATTGTTCTAGTGGCTGCAAAAGAAATTGAGCAGATTTGAAGCAAATAAACCAAGATTAGTTGCAAACATAATATCAGAACTCAAAGGTTATAACTAATTTTGATTTGAGGTTGGAATAATTGCCAAAAAAAGTTGTCGATCTGCATCACATACTTATTCATTTACGACACAAAAGTGCTCTGTTTGCAAAAGTGGCTAGCGCCTCCGCCCGTTAAACTTCTCAAAATAGTTACAAGTTTACTAACCATAAAAACATAACAAGCGTTCAGGCATGCATCAACAGTTAGAGGAAATCTTTACAAGAAAATTGAGGCTTTTACTCTCTAATCCGTTTGTTTTCAAATAAGTTTTTCCACAAAACGTTTACTACAAAAAAAAACAACGTTTTTTTTATTATTCGTGGGCAAATCATCTCAGCTGCCCTGTATATAAAGTGGCTACTCTGTATAAAACAATCCGCAGTACATTTTGCAGCAACTGAAGTTTTTCTCAGACATACGAAATCAATTTTTTTTCTTAAGTTGTGAAACACACTATCAGCCAGAAAAATGTGGTAAACTAAAACCAATAGATGAACCAGAAAAAATTTTGTCTTTTTTGATCAAACGCAGAAAATTAATACCTCATTTTAAAACTTTTTGAATTTCAAGAAACTCGTACCAAGAGAAAGCTGCGTCAAGGTGTACTGTTCTATCAGCTGGAAAATCTCAAAACCACAATCCACTTTCGAAACCTAAACTCATTCACATTTATGAGCCATTTGTTCTTTTTTTGCGAGTGGAATCAAAAATTCTAACTGGGGTTTTTTTTTACCATTAGCTTAAATAGCAGTGACTCAGCAACCGTGGTACTCTCTACGAAAAAAAATAGGAAAGGCGTTTTTTTTTCATAATTTCCAAGTGTTTTGCACCCGGAACTTGAATAACTTTGTTTTTTTCAGGCGCGTAGTCCTTTTTACGAGGGTAAATTGAAAGTACAAAAAAATTGCATATTTGAGCACTAACAAACGCCTACCGAACTATTAAAAGATTTCACCCAAAACCTGTCAGTGTCGGTTAATCAAAAACGAAGGCAGTAAAATTCCAAAAATAAAACGATCGAAAAACAACCAGACTTGGCAAAGTAAGCATAGCAAAAAGAAGTTGGAGAAAGTTTAAAAAGAAAACAAAAAAACAATGGAAAGTTATTGAAGAAAAATTATATCAGTTTAAAGCTAATTGAACTTCAACAACAGTTGAAAACTTCAATATATTTTTTTTGATTAACATAACTCAATTTAAAAATTCTGAATCTAAGGTTAAATTTTTTACTCCACTGGAAATCTAAACATAGCTAACAGACTGTTGAAAAAGAGTCATGAATGCATGGAAACAAAAAAAGTACTGATGTGTTTCTTGAGAAAGCCTTGAATTTCAAACTTTCGAGTTTTAAAGTGAAAAATAAATGGCTTTAAACCGCTCTAAAATTTGCTTTAGAAATTTGATTTAACTCTCAAGAACAATTTATGATTGACATTGTTTTGATTCAATTTACCCAATTTCATAAAACTGGACCAACAGTTAAAATTTTTCTTTCCCTGGGAAATCTGAATTTCGAAACCAGAAGTTGTTCACTTTTTTTACACTGTTTCAGCTTTTGTGATTTGAGAGCGCAAATAACTTAACTTTTATTTATTGAATTTGAATTGAATTTAAAACATAGGCAACTGACAGTTGGAAAAGAGTAACGAACGCAAGGAAACTGAAAACAAAACTGACTTGTTTTTTCAAGATCTTCAACTTTTGAAATTCGAAGAAAAAAAAACAAGTTGGCCTTGAAGCTCTGTGAACTTAACGAGCAATTTATGATGGACGTTTTTTTGTTTAAATTGATGAAATTTGAGACAATTTTATCAAGTGGTAAAACTTTTACTTCGCTGGAAAAACTGATAATTAATTTCGATTTTGCAAATTACAAGTCGATCACAATTTTCGTAGCCTGTACAATTTGCGATTCGATAGTACAGTTCGCCTTTTTGTAAACAATAGAAATGCACTGAACTTAAAAAGAAATCACGAGTCAAACCGCGAAAAATCAAAATTGAGCGTGAACAAACTTTAAGACTTTTTCCTAGAAAAAAAAACAGAAAAAAAATCATCGCGAGTTATATATGAATCTGAACTACGTTCCTCGACTTTTAAAAAACGGATGTTTTTATGATTATATATAAAGACACTTCTGTTAAATTTAGTTGACTTACACTTTTTCCTCAAAAAAAAATTAAGAAACAAAAAATCACCAATACCTATAAAAGAGTATTCACAATGTTCATGGTTCTTAAGAATCATGATCCACTTTTAAAACTAAATGTATTTTAGATTGTTCCTTGCCTTTTCAGTTTTGTAGTCGGAGTGCGCAATTCACTGCGCAATTCACCTAATTTTTAGCCGATGAGCTTGATCTGAACGCAAAAAGTGCATATACACTTCGTAAAAGTGTATTCGTAAAAGCATTTATATGTTTTAATGCACCTCTGTAGTTGTTAGAGCATTTTAAGACTTTACCTGAAAAAACCCAAAGACCTATATAAGTGAAAATCACTTCGTCTTCTTATGAGGCTACTGATTTACACGTAACTGGTTGTTGGTTTTAGCCACCGATATAAATATATATATTTTTGAAAAGCTTTGAACACAATTTCAACCAATCAACGTCCTTTAAACTCTCAAAACTGACTGCTATTCCCTTGTAACGTATCTCTCCCCCCCCCTTATAAAGAAAGAATTGACCCCCCCTATAAAGAAAGAATCGAACAAATAAGCATATCCGAATTTTGTACCTTGCTATCAACCCCCCTCCCCCCCCCCTATTCAATAGGGGGGAAATAGTTAAAAATATCCATTACTATTGTTACTACTGCTATTGTACCTCGTGATTGAGTTGTGTGGTCCTTTCCTCCAGTGTCTCCAGTCTGTCCCCCCTCTCTATGGCCTTGTCTATGTTGTCCAGCATCACATTCTTCACCTCCTGCACTTTTTCATTCACTGCACTCACACTCCCACTTGACCGACCGTACTCCGTCTAGACAAACCACACGTCAATCAATGTCAGTCAATCAATCAGACACTCAATTGGCGAAGAGTAAAGATTCAAATAAGTGAGGAAACCGAATTTCAGTTTATAAATGCGAATTTTGATTTCTATAAATTAGAATTATTATTAACATTTTCGATTAACGAAGCTGAAAGAAGTTAATTAACCTAAAACTGCTCGTTTTAATCAGAAACTAATTTTGCTTTCAATTGAGAACGTAAAAACCGTGTAAAAAATCTAACAAATGATTGGAACAAACAGAAATATTTAAAAGAGCAAATTACCTATTTCAGAAAATTTTTGCGTGCGAAAGCTAATTTTCAGACAAAAAGACGGGCTCAAGGACACCTAAAAACTCAAATTGGCAGATTGCTCTGTTTAGTTGTTTCTGTCTGTTCCAACTTTTTGATTCTAATTGTTCTAGTTTCTTGTCATGAAAATATCCAAAAAATTGGTTTTAAATATAATTAGTAGCAAAAAGTTCGGACAGACAAAAATAATTTAAAAGAGCAAATGACTTTTTTCTGCCAATTTTAGCATGCAAAAGCTAATTTTTTGGACAGAAAGTATGTCTCAATGTCATCTGAACTTTTAAATTTACATGCAAAAATTGCTTAAAATTGGTAGATTGCTCTTTTTATTTATTTCTGTCTTTCCGAACTTATTGCAACTCTGTATATATAATAAAGTAGCCGATTGAGCAAAAACAGACTAAGATCAGAAAAAATACCATAAATTATTGAATTATACGGGAAAACGAGCAATCGAATGAAGTTTCATACCACCCAGCAGCATATATCTAATTGTATCAAGCTCGAAAAAATTTACAAACAAAGAAAATAGTGACCACCACAGACTCGTCAACGTGTGTCGCAAGCTTCGCAAAAGAGGGTAGGACTCTTTAAAAAATTAAAGCAGGTTATCCAACTTTCTCGCGGAGAAGATTTCTCGTCGCATAATTAACTTCTTTTACTCCGCTTTTTCAAGAAAAAGTTCACGGCGATGCAAAACCTAGCGCGAACAATGAAAAATAGCTAGCATCTTTAGACCCAGAAAAACTGGTAAGTGTTCCAAAATAAACATTGAAACTATGAAAAGGGTAATTCAGATCATTTGCTGACAGAAAGATTTAATTAAAATTTAAAGTAAAGATTGTCCAAAATGGTCCATCAAGTTAAGCTTTTTAGAGGGCAAAAACCTGAATTTGCGTTTAATTTTGTCCATTAGAGTATCTGTAGCCAATTTCACAGATGTTTAAGCTGGAAAGTCTTAATATCTGGTAGGTCTTTAAATATTGATACTTCCAGCAAGGATTTCTGTCGGTCAAAGAAAAAAAAACTTTTAAGCTGGAACTTGTCCTTGGTTTCTATAAGCGGCTCCTCAGAGAGTAAGAACCTGAATTTGGTTTAAGCTGAGTTTAAAAAAAACAGTTTTAAAAAAATCAAGTTTCAACTTTTGCTGAATTGAGATTATTTCAAGATTTTCAAGAAAGTTTTACTTTCAAAATCAAAAAAAAAGAGTGAATAACGTGAGAACAAAACTACCGAGAAAAAATGACAGTTAATTTAATAAAAATCCTTGCAAAAACTGATACGTAATTCGAACGCTAAAACGGAAAACAAAACAATCGAGAACATAAAAATCCAAATTGAAAATCCGGTCGAGTTGATACCAAATAGCAATCAAAATTTTTTAAAACATTGAAATCAAAAGATTGTTCAGACAGAACTCAATTTAAAAAATTGATGTAAAATAAAAACTGCTTGCTACAGCTTTTCCAAATTCGGCGATTTAAAATTATATTCTTCTCTAGGAAAGCTGCTTGTTTAAGTTTTTGCAACTCGTATTTGTCTTGTTGCATAACAGCTGATGAACTTTTTGAAAAATTTAATCTAGGTATGAAATGACAGAGGACAGGCCCATTAGCATGTGTGTCGATAAGCATGCCGATATAAAAGAATTTCAATTGAAAATTCGCTATTTCTCGTTTTGCTTATTTAAGCTTGCAATTTTGAACAGCGTAAACTTAGCCGAATTTTATATTAGGCAAAAACGAAATTTGAACTCTCATAACATACTAATTGGTTTGCGAAAGTATTTGAAATTTTAAGCTAATTTGTTTTTCTTCTGAAAGCTCACTCAGTTAAAGCAAATATCGCATTTCAATAGGCACACATGCTAATCGCTACGCCCCCGAAATTTCGGTAACCTATTTTTACAAAAAGTTTGGTTAATTTGGTAAACGTATTACACATGAAACCGCAAAATTTCTTACTTGTTGATTGTGTGTTATATGCGCAACCTATGCTTTGATTCTTGGTTACGTAATCAGTTTTTAAGTTTCATACCTTCGAAAAAGTTTTTCTAATTGCAGCTGGCATTAATAGCATAGAAAAAGGATCTCAGCAAATTATACAGGTTAGAATACTATAAGCTCGGGCAGTAAACGAAAGCCATTAATTTGTCTTGTCTGAAGTTAATCAAAAAATTAAATTAATGCCTGCAGCTTTTTTAATGTTTTCTGTAAAGTTTATACTTAGAACGTAAATTATATTCAGGGGTTGTTAATATCTTTTGTATCATATTTTGAAACTGGTCAAATAAATTGAAAACATGATCTTTAGTGCGTGAATCTCCTAGCGGACCAGAAAAAATTACCCAATGATTAAGCTTTCTCTAAGTGGAGTTACTGTAAGAAAACAATCAAAAATAATACTTGAAAATCAAAATATTTAACGCAAAAAAAAAAATTGAAAAGCATAAGAAGCAGCAATTTTGAAAAACATCAATCAGCGAAATTGTAAAATCTTGTATCAACTAGCGAATAGATTGAAAAAATAATAACTATGAGTGATACTATTTTAAAAGAAATTTTAAAAATCCATTCGATTTCACGAGATATATGTCTGATGAATAAATGACTTTTAAGCGTGAAGTTATCGAATATTGAAGTTCTATTCGTTATAACCTTGAAGGACGAGAATAATTGAAAGGAAAACTGCTCGGTCCATTACAGTAAGAAAAAACAATTTTTGTTCCAAAATAGTGATAAAAAAAGAGCTGGAGCAAAATAATTATAGATTCAGGTCAGTTTTGCAAAAAATACGAAGATGAAAACCTTTTTTTTTTTAATTTCACAATTTTTGAGTAAACAGCTTTGAATAATTCATAGAATTTTTTAAAAAAATACATTCGATTTCACGGGTATAGGTCCGATGAATAAATGAATTTTCAGTGTGACGTTATCAAATATTGAAGCTGTGATTCTTAGTTACGTAATCTGTAGTTAAGTTTAATGCCTTCAAAAAAATTTTTCTACTTGCAGTGTCATTAATAGCATAGAAAAAGGATCTCAGCAAGTCATACAGGTTAGACTTTTTAAGTCGGGCATTAAAAGATAGCCATAAATTTGTATTATCGGAAGTTCATCAATAAAATTAAAGTTGTCACTGCAGTTTTTTTAATAATTTTGTATAAAATTTTTATTTAGAAATTAATTTACATTCAGGGGTCGTTAATATCTTTTGAATCGTACTTTAAACCTAGTCAAATAAAGGATAGATGCAAGTTTAAACCTAGTCAAATAAAGGATAGATGTAAGTTCGTCAAAAACACAGGAGAATAAAAAATGCGTCAGGCTTTTTCGCCCCAGAATTAAAATTATACTGACCATGAGTTTTTTGAGGACTGGTCTGAATTCATAATTTAATTGAAGTTCTGATGCACTTTGACTTCTGGCGACAAGACTGTCTGATGCATTGAATCTTCTGAGAACCTACAATTGAAAAAACAACGGATTGTGCATTTTTCAAGTAGGGGCGTGTCGGTAAGCATGTGCGTCTATCAGCATGTGATAAGGCTTCAATTAGGTCTTGAAAGGTTTCCATTACTTTGTAAAATTACTAGAGGAATCAAATTATAATTTTCATCAAATCAAAAACTCAGCGCCAAAGTGTGCGCTGTTCCAAAAAGGAAATTAAAACAACTTGTGTCAACTTAATGATTGTCGGTTTTGTCTCCTCTTCCTATGTTTTCTTCCATTTCTAATTGAATATTCTCATGTCTGGCATGTTTGACTAGATTGATTTTTTATCCAGACATACGAAAGTTTACATATTGGTAGACCTATTTTTTTCATCATTTTCGACTATTTTCAATTTTCTTCTCAAGTTTCTCAAGTTTCTTCTCAAGTTTCTCAAGTTTCTTATGTTTGTGTTGTATCGCAAGGGGTGCGTGGCTCCGCATCGCTTCTGTGTTTAACACATAAGTGTCTATATTGGCATGATTTTCTTGAAAAAAAATCAAGAAAAAGATGTGAAAATTTTGGTAGAGCATTTTTATCGACAGCAAAAAAACCGAATTAATTTTTCTGCGGTTTTGACTCTACTTTTGCCAGTTATTTTGTCGTGCTTTGCTTAGGAGTCATGAACGTTGTAAAAACTCTTGTATAAGTCTTGGTAATTTTTTTAAAATTTGTTTAGGAAAAGTCTTAAATTTTGTTCAAGCTAAAGCAAAAAAACCCAAGATGAAAACTTTTTTTTTGATATTTTTTGATTTTTGAGTAAACGTTTTTGAGTAATTCATAAAATTGTTTTTGATTTTTTTAAACTAAAAAATTCTGTACTGCTTCAAACACTTTAAAATCGAAAACGAATTTGCTCTTAATTAATCAAAAAGCAAAAATTTCAATCCATATTTTCTCAATTTTTGCTCCAATTTTGCAAGAAAGTGACTGAATATTTGTGCTTGTTTTGTTTTTTTTTTCTCGAGAAAACTTTTGAGTTTTCGAATAAAAAATGGACATATGGGCATAATTTTTCCAGACCATAGTTTTTCCCAAATATAAATGCCCTGAGTTCGAAGTTTAAAAAAATTGTCTGTGATCCTTTTTCTGCTAAGGTAAAGGGGGTTGAATGTGTGACTAATTCGAAAAGTTAGAGATAATGTGTAGCGTAAAATTGTTCCAAATAACTTCTCAAGGTTCTCAAATAACTCATCAAGGTTCTCATCAAGCCGTTTATACTCTTTTTAAAAACTTTGCCGAATTTAAGACATTTATCTGATAAGCACTCATTTTTTCATTTTTTTCATTAATTTTACCTAATTGGATTTGTGAGTTTTAAAGTTTCGCGACCCAATTCTTGACTAACGTAAAATTTGCTCGACAACGTTTTTAGCCCATTTGCAGATTTTAACGAAATAAAATCTGGTCGCGATTATTCAACTTTATGCCGCAAATTCTGGAAAAAGCCTCGGATCTCGTTTCGCGTTAGTTTAATCCGGCTAATCTTAAACCCTGATGAATAAAATTGAATACAGAGATTGTCGCCCATTTTCTATTATCTTTTCATGGTAAAGAGGGTTCGACTTTCTCAGAAACTTAAAATTATCGGTTTGCCTAAATTGTATCGAGAAAAGTTTTGGCTCACCTCTTCCAAGAATTTGTAGGACTGCTCAACAGAGTAAGACGAGTCTGTGATTGTAATGACTATGATGCTGTCTTTGATCAAGCAGTGCATACGGTAACTAAAACAAGCAAAAAAGCAAATAAATCAAACAAAAACAACAAATTAACCAATTTTTAGCTAATAATTTAATTTGAGTCTACCGATTTGATGACGTTTTTTTCTGCCTGAAATCTGATGCTCATAAATCAATCAACGGTTGGAAATTTTTTCACAGTAAAAACTTATGATAAACATGACTTTCTGTCGTCTCAAATAAAATTTCACTGATAATTTGGTGTCTTGAGGCAAATAGACGTAACGTAAAAAGAATTGGTCATTAGCAAATAAAGACAGTTACAATTTTTACGACGAGTACAACCCAGCTTGACGTAAAATACTTATATGGTGCTCTGGTTTACTTATGATTTTTATTCAATTTTTATACAATGTAACTGAAACCAAAGCTGAAACCAAAGCGAGTTTTTTGCTTTACTAGCACATAAGAACAATCTGAGAAGCTAATTTAAAGTTCATGCGAGTAAAAGCTTTTGTTTTTGACCAATTTTTTGAAAGTTAAGTCATGCTTTTAATCTCTCTTACTATATTTTTCATAAAGCAAGAAAAAATTATGAGCTTTTTATTATTTGTAAAATTATACTGATAGCAAGTTTTTGATAATCAAAGTAAATCAAAAACAAGCAGCGCTGAGTTGTAAAAACCATAAACGAAAACGATCAAAAAACGTGATCAATTGTCTAAGTGAAGTATATATTTTAGCTTTCAGCGTTTTCTGGTAATTTTGATTCATCTGATTTGAAAAGCCCATCAAAATTTCTCAAAAATGAATAATTAGTCTCAAGATCAAAACTTAATAAAAAACTTCGGTAAAAAGTTTAAAACGGTGCAAATTTGGAGATGATTTTATGAAAATAATTTCTGAGCCATTCACTATAAATTAATCCATTTTTCAAGTTCCATCAATTTGGCGTATAAAATTTTCGTGCCATTCAAATAAACAAGACAGCTTATCTTCTTAGCTCGCGGTTTTGTTATAAATTTGGTTGAAAAGCTGGTGTTCGAACAGAAAAGGAATCTGAAATTGGAAATGCCTATTCAAATCTGCCTACCAAACTCTAGTTAGAAAAAAATCGAGCAGATTAGATGCAACATTTCACTGACTTATTTGGACTAGAGCCAGCTTAAGCATTCACGACTTGCACAAAATTTAGCAAAAATTCACGTTCTCTGTCCTAAAAGGAGAAAAAATAGCAATTGCCTTTCAAAATTGCGCCTTTGAAACATCAAAAAACATTGAAATTCTTATTTTTTTAATAGAAAAAATTAGCCTCGAAGATTTTTTGCTTATGATCATAAATATGCACAAGAAGAATTCTTGTATCCAAGTTAAACCCTGAAAGAGTTGACCGCAGTTTTAAAATATCTTAAATCTAATGTTTCCTTTAAACAAAAAATTAAATTTTCAAAACAAAAAAAACTATAACAATTTCAACGTTTGTAAAATTTTTTCTGCCCCGGCAACTCCACATATGTAATGATAAAGTTTGCCTACATTTGCGAATCACTTATGATAATAAGCTTATCTGCGCCGGATTCTCCTGCCACCTACTATATACGCCTATAAAAATTGTAGTTTGAAAACATCTCCTCACCATTTTGACAAACTCTCTCAAACAAATTGAAATCTAGGATTTTTACTTCAATAAAACTCCACAAAGCTCTACTCGGGGCATAAAAACAGTTACGATGGTATGAAAAATCCGTCAAACCAATTGGTTAAGGCCGAAGTTGATGTTGATCTTGGGAAAAGACGCCGGTGTGAAACATTTCGACCCTTTCCTCGGAAATCAGAAAAGCAAATTTGTTAAGAATTAGGAATAGCTGAGCAAACCATTGCATTCCTTGAAAAAAAAAAACAAAAAACAAAATTGAATATTTTGCTTGAAACCTAAACAATGATTTTTTTACTACTAAAAATTCTTTTTTAGCAGAAATCATTTCAACGAAACAAAGTTTGACTCTTCAGGCCATAAAAACTACAGTTTTAGGATTTTTTTGGAATTATAAATATTTTCAAAAGTTTATAATTTTAGCAGATTTAGAAAAACTCAAACTCTGGTTAACTATATGTAATTGATTAATTTATTTGTCGACCAGCTTTTCATTTCATATACAACTAAGATTTTATCTTTTAAAAAGGTTTAGATTTGCGTTTTTGGGTTGAGATTGTTCGCGTGATCTGTTTGATTTACAAGAGTGAGATCATTTAAATAGAATAGTGATTGTGATTTTGATTCCCAATCGAAACATTGAAGATTTATGTGAAAATTGAAAATCAATTTTTTTGGACAAACAAGGTTGTTTTGCCGACCATTAGAAATGGGAAATAACTTTGTCTTTGGGTGAGTTTAAGTTTTTTCTTTGTTTGTTTTTCATGGAGGGAGCCAAAAT